AAAATGTCAATCTGGCAAGTAACTGCTTAGAAGACACTGTTTGTTTTGGATATGTGATTTAATTGATTTATTTATAAATGCCGCAAATGACTACAAATGTTAAAAGTATGTCTGATTTGATTTTTGTAGAATTAAAGAATTGACAAAACATAAAGGGGTGATGAATTATTCTATTTATTTATTTATTTTGGAAAAACAGACTTGAAATAAGACAAAAGTAGTAAAAGAAGTAAGAATGCAAGATCAGAAATTATGAGACAATGACAGTGAGAGAAAAAACTGTGAGGAATATATTAAGAAAAGGATGCAGATTGTAGCCAGTGAGAGCAAGGAATTGATCGGATTAAAAGAAGCAGAGAAAATGCAGAGAATCTAAATTGTTTTAGAAGTAGGTGAAGAGCTTTGAAGCTGAAATGAGGGAACGCTGAAAGGAATATTTTAAAGATTTGTACAGGAATGATAATGATAGGTTGAAGAGTAGAATTCAAGAAGTATTAGTGTCTAGAACATAGGTGATAAATATTGTAAGAATCTTGAAAAATGGCAAGATTTCAGTTATAGATTATGTAGTTGGAGAAAACTTAAAATATGGGTTGTTTCAACACAGTTGTGTAGATTGCATCTGAATTTGAGCATTGGACGAATGCTATTACTGCTCGTGTATATAAAGTGAATGCAAAATTAATAAGGGATTTGTTTCTTAAATGTGCCTAGGAAATATTTGGCAAATTTCTAATTGAAATTAGAAAAAATTGGGAAATGAAATGTAGCTTTATGGCAAGTCAGGGGTTGTGCCTGTGGACAGTTTTTTGCTCCTCAGCAGGTCATTAAGAAATACCGAAAAAAAAAAAGAATATCAGAAAGTAAGTAGGCTGGAATTATGGAATGTTTAGCAATAAAATGAGGTTGAAGATTAGTTACTGTGTTCAACAAGGGTAATATATGATGGAAGTAAAACAAGAGTGAAAATAAATGGGATGCTTAACAAATGGTTCAGCACTGAGCATGAGATAAGGTAAGGATATCAGATGTCCTTTTGGTTTTTAGTAACAAATGTTTATCTTGTTAGAGATGTGCTGCTGGGTGTGTGGATTTTTGTATCCAGATTATGCTTTGTTCTTGGTTGAAACAAAAATAATTTACAATGAAAGATACATGATTCAGTGAAGAGTAATAATCCAAAAATTGATGTAGCAACAAAATATATTCTGACGGGGGAAATTCAGTGAATAATTACAGGTTTTCATCAGTGCAAGGACACTAACTCACATAGATGAATTTGTGTACTTTGTTAGAATCTTTACCTCAAGCTAGAACAATTTAAAAAGGTGAAAATGTTGCCGGAAAGATAGCAGATAAATATAGTAGTCTTTGACTGATGACCATAATTGAGCCCAAAATTTCTGTTTCTAAACAAGACAGTTGTTAAGAGAATTTTGCCCCATTTTACGACCTTTCTTGCCACAGTGAATTGCAGTTCTTAAGTTAGTACCTGGTTGTTAAGTGAATCTGGCTTCCCCATTGACTTTGCTTGTCAGAAGGTCACTAAAGGTGATCACATGACCCCAGGACACGGCAACCGTCACAAATATGATTCAGTTGCCAACATCTGAATTTTGATCACACGGGGACGCTGTAGCCGTCACAAGTGTGAAATACAGTCATAACTTTTTTCAATGCTGCTGTAACTTCAAACGGTCACTAAATGAACTGTTGTAAGTTGAGGAGTACCTATATTATGGTGTGTTGTGAGGAATTAATATTCCTGAATGAAGCCAAAATGACAGTAATACAGTTTCACTTTGTTATATTGAGAGAGTACCATAAACAGCTATGCTGACTCAGGAATTCTGGAAGTTGAAGTCCACGAGTCATAAAAGAGCCAAGGTTGCCTAGCCCTGTAATATAGGCTATTCTGAAAACGGTTTCAAGAGGCATCTCTACTACTAAGCTAAGAAGCAGTATGAAAGAGTGACTACCAAGTATCAGCATGAAGTTCTACGCTTGCGTCTCTTTTCATTCACCTGCATTTTATAGTGGACCAAAAGGACCTCTTTTTTTGTTTGTGGGAAGGCCAATTTCATTTTGTCCCTTGTTTGGGCAGTGACTAGTATTGGTACCATGTCTCACAGATGAAATGGATTAATTTGCAAGGGCTAGAAAGTTAGAAGAAGTGTAATGAATGCTGTTGGAGTAAGCTACTTTTAAGTATGCTTCCTTACATCTTTAATTTCTTTGGCGTATTATTTCTCCCTCTTTTTCTTCACTCCGAATTTACCCCAAAAGACAATAGCATGAAGGCATACGTGTTGGTTATAGAAAGTTTGGAGGGTCACAATGCATTCCCAGCTTTCTTGAGGGGCAGCCAATTAGCAATAACGATAGCACTTGGATTTATATACTGCCTCATAGTGCTTTACAGCCCTCTCTAAGCGGTTTACAGAGTCAGCATATTGCCCCCAACAAACATTCTACTGACCTCTGGCAGTGAACAGTGAGTTAGTCTGCAATTGTTGTTGTTAGTTGCGAAGTCGTGTCCGACCCAGGCCTTCCTGTCCTCTACCATCTTCTGGAGTCCATTTAAGCTCACCCCTACTGCTTCAGTGACTCCATCCAGCCACCTCATTCTCTGTCGTCCCCGTCTTCTATTGCCCTCAATCTTTCCCAGCATTAGGTTCTTCTCCAGTGAGTCCTTCCTTCTCATTAGATGGCCAAAGTACTTGAGTTTCAACTTTAGGATCTGGCTTTCTAAAGAGCAGTCAGGGTTGATCTCCTCTAGGACTGACCGGTTTGATCACCTTACAGTCCAGGGGACTCGCAGGAGTCTTTTCCAGCACCATAGTTCAAAGGCCTCAAGTCTTTTGCGCTCAGCCTTTCTTATGGTCCAACTTTCACAGCCATACATTACAACTGGGAAGACCATGGCCTGGACTATGCGTACTTTTTAGCCTGCAATACTGCATTCTAACCACTGTACCACCATGGCTCCTGTCCAATTATGTGATGAGTGAGCTGCAGCTTGCAAACATTGGATAGTATCTGATTAGAGTCAAAGAATGTTGAATAGGCAACATTAGAACTGATGAGGAAACCCTAGGTTCCTGCTTATTATATCATTGTAGTTGCGCTAGTGCATATGATTACATTTATTGCATGTGTCACTGGGTTCATGTGCAGCATGTGAACAACAGCAATTCAATTACATCCCTCTGCTGCTTCAGACACCTTACATATTCATGCTGCTATTCTAAAAATAAGGGGCAAAGGAAAAGCTCTCACTCCCATGTTACAGAACTGAATATATTTCTTCACTTAGCAGCAGTTTGGATGAAAGGTTTATTAAGACATTTTTCCAATGCCATTAGAGCATTTCCCCTAATCAGAGGTTTCTATGCAAACAAAAGGTGAGTTTCTTTTATTCTTCCTTATTCCTTATTTTATTCTTCCTTATTTCTCTTATTCTTCTGTATTTCTGCCTCAGGAATAAGCAAACAAAGTTGGGAAGCTCTCCTTACACACCCAGATCCTGTTTCCTCTTGTTGTGTTTGATTATTTGAACATAACACCTACTTAAACTGATTATTTTTCCTTCTCCCAGTACATCTAACCAACTGTTTCTAATTCATTTATAAGCCTGAGAAATCAGAATAGGATAGTTCTTATTAAAATCGAATTGATTATTTTCTTTTTCTCTCTATCACTTGCAGGTAGTTCTTTTTTGTAACTACGCGTAGATGTAACCAAACAAGGCTTTTGCTGCATAGCATTATTTTTTTCCATTCTAGATGTTTTAAGGAGAATCCAGATATTGGCCTGTATTTTTTTAGTACTGTATAAATTTATTTTTCTAATCCAAACTGACTAATCCAAACAATTAAGAAACAGCAGAATAACCATTTAGTTTTTCAGATATGGCTAGGAAAACGCACAGCTGATTCTTAAAGGGAATTCACCCAAATGTTGGGAATATCAACTACTGTCATATAATCCACAGGATAGAGTGCCATTTCACAACATTCAGATCAAATATTTTTCCCCTTTCTAAAAGGATTTCTGAATTTACAACAGTTCTTAAAGAAACAGCATTTTAAAACAATGAATTCAACTCTTGGCAGTAGGTATGGGTATAACGGGGAAAAAAACAGTTTTCAATCCTAGAGAGAGAGAGAGCAATTTGATTAGAAAGAAGGAGCAGCATAGTTACTAATTAGGTTACAAAACTGATCAGGAAAAGGTCAAAACCAAAAATGCTTTTGTCACAATGCTTTCTTGGAAGTAGCCTTCCCCCCTGAGATCCAGCAGGCCCCCTACCCTCCTGGTCTTCCCAGAAGCTGTTAAAGACTTGCCTTTTCCACAAGCCTTGAAGTGATGTGTGGCCAGAGCCCAGGCAGTCTCTACAGTGGTTATTCATATGTGTATGTATGTGTGTTTGGCGCACTGGGCGTGCACTGTTTTATTCTTTTTATTGCCTTTATTCTTTTATTATTGTTGTGAGCTACCCAGGGTTATATTACATATAGGAGCAGCTATACAATTTTTTTAATAAATTCTACACATGCATATGAAATTGTACTGCTTCTCTCTTCCAAAATACTTCATTATGTTTTCCCTGGTATATTTCAAAGTGGTGACTTTGCCTAGGAAACAGATGCAAGGGCTGAATTCAAATTCAGCTGTTTATGAACGTTCAGTTTGTTTTTGAATATGTTCCAGAATTAGAAAGAATAAAATAAGACTCAGAATGAAGATAGTACACGTTGGACTGAGAATGGAACTGTCAGCAGAGACACTCCGAATAGTATCTTCGAACATTTTAAAACCTACCAAAAGATGGGTCCGATGCAGCTTAGAAAAGTGCAGATTATTTTATATCATTGCAAATCATGTTCACCAGCTAAATCCTGTTTTAAAAATTATTCTGTTTTGATATCTAGGAAGATTGTGCTGGTGTCTTTAAAAGAAAAAAATGAAGCCGTGGTTGTTGTTTTTTTCTGTCATAGATGTGAGCGACTAGAAGAACAGCTGAATGACCTGACTGAACTTCATCAGAATGAAATCCTCAACTTAAAACAAGAATTGGCCAGCATGGAGGAAAAAATAGCTTACCAGTCCTATGAGCGAGCCAGAGACATCCAGGTTAGCAGTTGTTTGTATTTGCACTTCATTTAAATTATGTTGAGCATTTTTCACAAACATTGCTCTAGTTCAGTTTATAGTTTAATCCTCATTAATAGTAGAATTGAGGTACTGTGTTTTTAAATCCCAAATTATCTCAGTTCTGTGACTCTTACTGGAGCCAGAATCATTTATACCTTTGCAAAATTTATTCAAATCCTATTAAGAAATTCTTGATAAAGAAAAGCAGACAGTTTTACAATAAAAATCAATTCATTTCCTGGCAAACTTGCTTCCATCTTTAGAGAGAGTTATAATAAAGGAGCCATGTTTATACCATGACAGACAGTAATTTTTATGGCATTGTTCCCAATAAAGCTATATTTGGTATTAATTTTAATGAAATCATACAGATGTAGAAATAAAAAGAGTAATCGGTGTTATAGTATATGTCCATCTCTTCAGGAAGCAGATTTTTTCTTGTTACTTGTGTAAATAAGGAACTTCTTGAAGATTTTTTTTTAATCTGGGTATATAAAGTATTTAAAGTTAAAAATATATGGAATGTTAAAGAACTGAGCTGCATGTTCACTCAGAATATTTATCCCTTACAAGAAGGCTTATTCCACATGATGCTGGTAAACCTTTGCATTGAAATAAATCTCAGCTATATGGACCTATCCAGCAGAAGATTGTGTAGGAAATTAAACTATGTTTGTCCCAAAAGTGCTGTTCCAAATGCAACTGGACTTTTGGTTTTTCCTTGAAAATTTTTTGCTTCCCATCCAAGAAGCTTCTTCAGGTTCTGAAGTTCAGTTCAGATCCAAACTGAAGAAGCTTCTTGGATGAGAAGCAAAATATTTTCAAGGAAAAAGAAGAGAGTCCAGTTGCCTTTAGAACAGCACTTTTGGGACAACCATGATCTGGATGATTTAGAATCTCCATAAATTACGTTTGGCCTCCTCCCAGCTATGCTTCAAATATAAGAACATACAAGAACAGGAAAAACATTGGGGGAGACAGGTTTAAGAACAGATTAAATAGAGGAGAAATTTAGTACCCCCATTTTCAATCATCCTGTCATTTGGCAGGTTTTTTTGTGTAGCAATATAATATCAGCTGCAAAAGCACAATTGCAGATACACTTTTAAATGCACAGTCTACCTTTTTCTTGGTTATGAATCTACTGTATATAGGTAGCTCACATGGACAGTAGTAGTGGACATCTTGAGAGTTACACTGATTGCAGATGATTCAGTGGTTTTCTTCACCACTTAAAACTTTCAAACCCCGTCCAGGAAAAGGGGGTCCTGCCCAGTCGATTTTTAGAGAGTGATTCCTGACATACCTTGCAAATCTGGTGAAGTTCTCAAAAGCTACAGAAATTGTGCACTCCTGACCTAAAAGAATGTATTTACATCAGTGACGTTATTTCTGCTTCAGCATAAATCATACTTGGATGTTATTACTATAACTGGAGCATTTATACCAAGAACTGTGACAATGTCAGGTTTAAGACCTAAATGTCTGTGCAGAGGAAAATAAGCGGATAAGTGAAATCAAGAGACAGTTATCCCTCACCTGAAAGGCTTTTAATTCCTCACTACATATTGTTCACAACGTAAGCTTTTGATGTGATACCATGAATTATAAAATACTTTTATGTGGGGTTTATTGCCATTCAAAGTACTACAATTTCGTGGAGATTATGCCAGCTATATTACAGATTAGGGCTATCAAGTCTGGGCAGTAGAAATCCTGATAACTGCTAGATAGTAGAAGAGAGATACAGAAACTAATATCTATTAGTTGTCCACATTTTTTGCAACCCAGTTCTGTAGGAACAAGCCTAGATAAACCTTAATTTTGCTCCTGGATATGAAACCAAAGGAGTTAATCACATCCTGCAAAATGTGATCGCAGCTCATGGATTCCCAAAAGGCTTTGCAGGGTGTGTTTAGTATATTATTTAGGAAATATGCCAGTTTGCATTTCTGATTATTATCCTGTCAGCTTCTGGCACCTGATGTTTTGTCAGTGGACTGCTTGACACATTACATGTATGCCTAGAGGCACATTCTGTTTGGGTAAAAAAGAGCCTATTATAGGGCCTCATTGATCTCTCTCTCCCTTCTGAGATGACTAACCAGTTTTCTTGTGCTCAACAGGAGGCCCTGGAAGCCTGCCAGACCAGAATCTCCAAGATGGAACTGCAACAGCAGCAGCAGCAAGTTGTCCAATTGGAGGGCCTTGAAAATGCCACTGCCAGAAACCTTCTGGGCAAACTAATAAACATCCTTTTAGCTGTGATGGCTGTCCTGTTGGTGTTTGTCTCCACCGTGGCCAACTGCGTGGTCCCCCTGATGAAGACTCGCAGCAGGACGTTCAGCACTTTTTTTGCCATGGTCTTCATTGCCTTTCTGTGTAAGCACTGGGACGCCATTACCAGCTACTTGGAACGCTTCTTTTCACCCCCCACATGATGACAAGAACAGGCCGTTGCCTCGCCCACTTGGCAAGGAAGTGCATAAACTTAGTCGGCAGTTCCTTCCTCCACTGAAGATGTTAACATGTCCGAGTGTGAATTTGTTTACAGTTAAAATAATATTTTCTCTCTGAGACATATTGGCAATAGTGAGGGTTTTTTTTAGAATTTATTAAAGAACTTTTTTTTGTCAAAAATCCTGAACATTTTTTATGTAGCACGATTCTCTTTGGATGCAAATCTTAATATTCTGTATGTGTACAGAGATAAAACACAAATCTGGAGCACACCAATGAGCAAATTAAATTATGGCTCAACTACTGTACTAAACCTGGTCGGAAGAGGAAAAGACAATTACATAAATTCTAACAAAGATAATCCGGTGCATAACGATACTCTGATTATCCTACAATGCTACTGTGAAACCTGACCACATTCTGTGTCTGAATGTATAGCTTCAGGATGGCTTTCTCTAATGAAAGACCAATGCAATACATGGAACTTTCTGGATCTCTTCCTGGGTTTGCCTCTTCTGCTGTTAAACTTTCTGGCTAGATATATGAAGTGGATTAGTTCTACTGTGTACAGTTCCTGCACAGTTGTACTACAGTATTTTGAAGTAGCCCTTTGACTATTTTAAGCAAAAGCCCTTGGTTGCACTTTGACTGTTTTTTAATGTATGTATAGTCACAGATTTAAAAATCCAAATGGCATACTTGAAGAGTGTAATACTCAAAACTCTCAGTGCTTCCTTATTGTTTCTAATAGGATTTTTTATTCTTATTGGGGATTCTTTTTGAACTTAATGGTTGAGAGCATCATCTCTCTTTCTCTCTCTTGCTCTCTTTGAATAAAGAAGTGACGTTCGTAAATGAAGCGTGTGAATAAATATGAGCTACCGTGTTCTGAGATGATTTGGAAGGTTGCAGATAACGTTTAATGTATATCAAGTGCAAACCTGTTCAAATGTGATCTGTTTCCTCCTTAACTTCCAGACCTCGCATTAACAAAACAGATGATCTGATCCCTCTGGCCAGTTCATATATCCTTTTCTTTGTTTGGAAGTAAATGAGGAACTGAAAATGTTGTTCCTGGTCCTGTTGTGTCTGGACCAGGTATTTTGAATCCTGGTTTATTTTAAGAAAAATGAGCAGGAAGTTTTGAAAGCATGAGTGAGTGAGCTGTTCTGAGAAGAAAACTAGGGAGTCTTAATATCAATAATAAATAGGACTTAAACTTTTAAGTTTAGGCTCCTCCATGCCAAAGTTGGAGTGGTAGCTAAGATAGATTACAGTCGGTCAGCTTCAGATCTATCGTAAAGTTACCCTGTGTCTCTTAAGGAAGGCATAAATGCTTAAGGAAGCATCAAGTCATTAGGCCAATCCTTTAAATAGTACCCGAGTTAATGTGTTATTCAAATAAGCCCTTGGGAACTGAAACCAAAGCTGTACTACTAACAGACTACTAACAGTGTTCATGCTGTTGGTACTTTTTTATATTTAGAGTCAGCCTCTTCAACCTCCTTGTGTTCCCCATATAGGACATCATGAAATCTCTTGCATTAGTAAGATTTGGTGGCAGCTGAGCATTGTCAAGAAGTAGGAAACAAAAGAGCAAGTGAACTGTATCACACACACACACACACACACACACACACACACACACACACTGTTACTCAACACATGCTCGAAACAGGTTCTTCCTGTTTCCAGCATGTAAGACAAGAACTTGAGCAAGTTACATATGTAAGTGTTCCAAACAGAATTTGCCTTTGCAAGACACATATTTTAAAAAGCCGTGGCATGAGCTACTTGTACCTCTACTTTCATTGCTTTTTCAAAAATGTAAACAGGATTTAGAAGTATAAGAATATTCATTCTGTTAGTAAGTCTTCAGCCATGGTGTCATGTTTTTCCAAAACTTTTTAATGCTGGCCAACAAGTTTTATATTTGTGAAATTCAGAATTAAAACTCTTCATTCTGTTTCTCTGTGAAACAGTTAAGTATTCTTTCACATCGCCGGAATATAATTATTTAATTCTAACTTGACCAGTGTTTTATCTAAGAGTCTAACAATCCCAAAATAACCTACATAACGTGGAAATGCATATGGAAGTTCTTACTTGTTCGGTTTTTTTATTTAAATTTTGTTTCTATCCCTTCACCTCAGTTAAATGGAGCTTGGCCTTGTGACTGTCAACAAAGAAAACTTATATACATAAAACCTATATAGAGAAACTCCCTTTTGCTTTAGAATTAAACTGTGATTCAAGAGGTCTAGCATATCATTTTCAGAATTGCAGTTCTTTATACACTCAGATCCCTAACGCTAACATGAATCACAGATTGGTACTGGAAAAAAATCTACTTGTTCCCTCAAGGAATTTGTCAATTTGAAGAAATTCTGGCCAATAACTAAGCATTCGGTTGTCCTAGCCCTATAGGTGTAGATTGTTAATATTTTCCTTGACCTGTCATTTCAAATTTTTATTGAATTTATGTTCACTGCTCCTAAACATCTCAATACCACTCCAGTTTTCTGCATGCTCTTAATGGTAAACTAAATAACTTAAAAGAGGCATGATTTGGACACAACATGAAATGCTTGAGGTGATTCCTAGGGCCACCTTTGTGAAGTACAGAATTTTCTGTAGATAAGCATAGCACGGCATATAAACAAATATGACCTAGATGAGTATTCATTATTCAATATTCACCAAAGTCTGTTAGTGAATACTTCATTGCTTTTTCTTGTAAACATTTATGATTTCTGAATATGTATTATTAGATAAATGCTATAACAGCTAGCATCTGTTTACCAGCAAAAAAAAAAAGAGAGAAATATGGCAGAGCCCTAATCTTCAGAATTTTCCCCAAAAGATGTTTTGGTTTATGATTAAAACAGGCTTTCAATGCATTCTAAAGGTTTCTGTTCATATTTTATGAGATTGCATCCAATCTGTTGAATATTCTAACATGACTTTTCATTTTGCCTTTTTTGCTAACAAAATTCATTCTCCTCACTGCATCAAATTATTTAACAAATGTTAATTGTTTAAAAATGCGATTATAGCTTTAAACTCCTAATTCCCTTTGCAAGCATTTTTGGGTTATTTGTTACAAATAGTGTTTGCAAGTAAGTGAGTATGTGCGTGTAGCATTATTACTGATGTGGCCCTCCTCAGTTTTGTATTGATTTTCCAGAATTTCCTCTTTAGATCAGTGATATGTAACCTATAAATAGCATATCAGATGATCACAGAAAGAAATGAATGTAACAGATTGTATTGATGGGAACAACAGTTTAGCATTTTTTCAATGCTTCATAACATATCTAACTTGATGGTTTTAAAAAAAACCTGAAGATACTATGTTCAAACATTGTTCCTCCAACCATAAACGATATATACAGAGTATGATCCCTGTATGAACTCTGTGATAATATCAAGTGTGTTCATAATTACTAGTTTCCTAATTTGTTTATTTTGCATCAGTGGACCCCAAACAATTCCATTTGGCTGGGATATGCTGTAGGTTATGGGACTGGCCAAAAGACTTGCTGTCTTTTGGTCCGCTGAATGGATTTTCCGAAATTAAAAGTGCAAACAATGGGAACCAAGTTGCCAGTTGGTGGGTGGCTGTCAAATTCTTTAGCAGTTTTGATAAATTCCGAATGTGGCAAAAGAGTTGTATGTGTGTATCTGTGTTGTGTAGGCCAGGTGACATTGTGCATTAGTAGGCAACTGACAAAACTGTAAGTGTAGTTTTTTAAAAGTATAAAATAAAAACTCACTTGCATGGGATGACGAGTATGGCAGACACTGTAGTTTATAGAACTTTTAAGCTGCTAACTGTTGAGAAGGATTGACATTTGTCTTGTCTGGTAGTCACAGGTTTGTCTGTGACTCATGCTGTATATAAAATTCAATAAAACCTCAGATATTCACTGTTGTGTGACTTAGTTGTTATGTAAGAAAGAGTGTACACCAAGGAAATAATTAATGGTGAGATAAGATTTAAGCAACTTAACATCCTGGCGGACCAGAAATTGAAGTTGCAAGAATGTAGTTCAGTTGTTACAGCGGGTGACTTCTATCGAAACATGGGCATATGTAATTGCATGACTACAGGTTAAACTAGCATATGGAAAATCAGACTATCAGTCCATGTAGCTCAGTCTTGTCTAGTGTTACTTACATGAGACTTTCCAAGGTCCAAAGGCAGAAAAGTTTTTTTTCCCCTAAATTGGCTCCATAAGATCACTTCATATTGGAAATACAAGCAATCAAAATTGAGAATATCTGCAAAATGAGCTCCGTACTCCTCCTCAGCAATGGGTTTCAAACTTTTGCCTTGAAAGAATTCTGCGTTGACCTGTCTATCAAAGATCATCAGATGTTGGATCCATGTGCGTGTGAGGAATATGGTGAAATCCCTTGATCCTCCTCTAAAACCTCTTCCAGCAGCTGCACAAGGTTTCTTTGAAAACAAGGTTTTTCAAAAACTGGCTTAAAATGTTCCAAGAGGTTCCAGGAATTCCGCGCCTATTCAGCAGCCAACATGCCGGCTTTTTTACAATAAAATAATAACCTAGACTGGTAAAAAGGCATGCAGAGAAGCAATGTTTTTTTCAATCCTGATTGGCAATAGAGTGGGCAGCTGTGTCTGGTTCAGCCCGGTCATTTAAATTACACAACTGGATGCATGCCTTGCACTTTTTCAAATCCATTGTTTCAGATGGCCTTCAGGAGGGACTTGGACTTGACTTCAAGCAATATGTACCTGTCTCTAATAGCGTGAAGGTTTGTTTTCTGCGCAACTGTTTAAAATGTAGCACAGTTTGCGATGCTGACTGAACTGGCAACTTCCTAAATCACATACATTCATGCAACATTGATCCATTCCCTATACAGGTAAGTCCTCGACTTACCACAGTCCGTTTGGTGACCGTTCAAAGTTACCACGGCACTGAAAAATATGACTTAACGACCATTTTTCACAGTTACGACCTTTGCAGTACCCCCATGTGAACAAAATTCAGATGCTTGGCAACCGATTCATACTTATGACCGTTGCTGTGTCCCAAGGTTATGTGATCAACTTTTGTGAACTTCTGAAAAGCAAAGTCAATGGAGAAGCCAGATTCACTTAAGAGCCGCGTTACTTAATTTATCAACTGCAGTGATTCACTTAACAACCATAGCAAGGAAGGTCGTAAAACGGGGCAAAATTTACTTAACTATCTCGTTTAACAAAAGAAATTTTGGGTTCAACCGCGGCCATAAGTCAAGGGCTACCTGTAACCATTTCTTTTTTTAAAAAAGCAAAGAACAAAAAATATGAGAGGGAGCTTAATAAATAAAAAACAGGATCCTTCCAGTACTGAATACCACTTCTTAATACTTTTGGGAAAGAAAAAAATATAGTTATATTTAGAGTTTATGTGCCTCTTCAGTCCAGTGGAATTCACAGCAATTTATATTTTTCCTTTACAGTAAGAAACAAGTTAAAATAATATCAGTATTATTTTAAAGCTATACCAAGTCCAATGCCAAAAAAACGCACCATCTCATAGCCCTCTCAGAAGAGTCTTTCCTAAGCCCTCCTGGAATAATGATATTTGTGTGGTTTTCCTGAGAAGAGACTGGACAGCCATTTGTCTGAAATGGTATAGGGCAAGGGTGTCAAACTGGCAGCCCGTGGGTGGGCCAGATGCATCATGGCAAAACCACGCCCACCCCATTGCCAGCAATGGAAAAAAGTCGTGATACATCGTGACACATCACGTGATGTTGCGAGTTTGACACACCTGCTATAGGGTTTCCTGCCTGAGCGGGGGGTTGGACTAGATGACCTCCAAGGTCCCTTCCAACATCATCATCATCATCATTATTATTATTGATCATCGCACAGTCAGATGTTCAGACTGGATTTGGCACTTTTGTCTATTGAGTCCTTACCAAGAACCTGGGATAGGCAGATGTGGATGTTTGATGGTATTACAGATATCGTCGCAGGGCGGAAGCAGTTCCTAGTAAGGCTGCCTTTGGCAATTGACTAATGGCGAATTTGTCAATGCCAATGGTGTTCAAGTGGTGCTCCAGTTGTTTTGGGATTGCACCCAGGACACCTATTACTATTGGTACTACCCTTGCTTGTTTTTGCCACAGTCTTTCTATTTCTATTTGTAGCTCTTTGTATTTTGTGATCTTCTCCAGTTCTTTCTCGTCTATTCTGCTGTCTCCAGGCACTGCCACATCCACTATCCAGACTTTTTTGTCTTTCTTATTGACAATTGTTAAGCATGATTATGATGATGGTGGTGATGATGATGATGATGATGATTATGGATCATCGCACAGTCAGCCAGATGTTCAGACTGGATTTTGCATTTTGTCTACCTATCGAGTCCTTACCCAGGACCTGGGATAGGCAGATGTGGATGTTTGATGGTATTACAGGTATCGTCGCAGGATGGAAGCAGTTCCTAGCAAGGCCGCCTTTTGCAATTGACTAATAGCGAATTTGTCAATGCCAATGGTGTTCAAATGGTGCTCCAGTTATTTTGGGATTGCACCCAAGGAGCCTATTACTATTGGTACTACTCTTGCTTGCTTTTGCCACATCATCATCATTATTATTATTATTATTATTATTATTATTATTATTATTAGCAAAAAGGATGCTATCCCAAAGAGGCCACAATAGATTTTGTGAGTGGATTCCAGATTTTACTGGATGGAGAAAATCCGCTGAGAAGCAATCCCATAGTAATCCAACTCCTAAATCAACTATGTTCTTCCCCCCGTAAAATGCAATCCAAGCCTAACTTTTATGCCAAGGTATAACTTGCTTGCATGTCATAGGTTACTGCACACAATTTGCTTCGGATGTATTCCCCAGATGTGAAGTCTAACATGGCTGGTAAGATACCAGTTTGAAGAAGGGAACGATGTGAAGGCATATTGAAATCTATGCAACCTTTGGAACATAATTGGAGAGCAGAGCTCCAGATTCTGAATAAAATAAGTTGCACATTTAGAAGAAATGTTTTGATGTCCTCCTGTCTTTGTCGAGTAAAGTGAACTTTGTTTTCCTATTACTCTATTATAACAAAGATTGTAAGTTTGCCTGAGGCAGCTGACCAGATGTTTGTGTTCTGCAAGATCATGCAATATTCTTTTAAATGTTTTGAAATATACACCACTATGTTTTTAGAGTTTCATTGAGCCTGATGCAGCTAGGGCTCCCGTATTTGGACTGCAAGAATCCAGATGATAGCTAGATAGCAAGAGTGTTGGAAGTTTCCATATCTCTTTCCTCACTTCTAGGGTACATCTGTATTTTCCCCACCCTACTATGGTAGGTTATGCCAAAAGGACTTCCTTCTCCTCCCCTCCATAACCTTTTGTGCTAGTCCCAAATCTGCTCCAAGATATCCTTTGTCTTGGCCAAAGATTTAAAAGATAAATTCGAAATGAAGAATTTCTTCTTTGGGCAGATACTGTTCTATCAGTTGAACAGCACTATTATAGAGTATATTCAACTCAGTGAACTAGAAATTGAAATTTTGAAAACTGAAAACATAAATTGTATTATATGGTTTGAGGATTCCCATCAGATGCCTATGGAGTTGATTTTCCATTATCCTTTGTCCTTGATGAAAGATAAATTCTTCAAACTGGAAAATCCCACTGGGTGAGGGAGTGGGGTAAAAGTGAACCTAAAACTTCATTTTGCCAGTCTATATAGCAAGTTGATTTGCTGCTGGCTTTGCACACCACCTAGTGGTAGACTTTTGTCTTTTCTGCAGTTAATTTCACTTCAGCAATTTCTTCCAATCACAAGCCCAGCTTGTGTTTTGTATTTGCAGGTATATATAAAATGATGGGATTATGTTCTAAGATCCTTGTTCTTAAAAGATCTTCCTCGTCTTCAGTTTCAGGGATTACCATCCTTTGAAAATCACCACCATCCTTTCAAATAAAAATTGGCAGCTTTCAGGCCCCAAACCCAAAACGACATGTGGTGATTCTGCCAAACAATTCTTTATTGTTTCACAAAATCATACTATACCAAGCACTATATTATCTGCACCTACAATATACTCTTTGAACTGTTTGAGAGGGGCTATCTTTACACTCTTTCTCTCACACATAATATCGGGGCTGAGTTGCCTCTTACTCCCCTGCCATTCACCCTCTTTTCTCCTGGTGATCCATACTGTATTACAGTGGTTCTCAACCTTTTTAATGCCGCGACCCCCAACTGGCCGTAAGTCAAGGACTACTCAACTGGTGCAGCACCGTTTGCAGAATGGGACTTTTGGCGGGCTCAGCAGGGCAGAGACAGCCTGGACAATTCCTATTGGCTTTTGAAAGCCAATAGAATTAGACTCTATTCAAGAGTCTATTCTATTGGCTTTCAAAAGCCAATAGAATAAAAGGGAGTAGCACAGCTAAGGAAAGGGGGGGGGGAAATGGCGGACTGCGTTGTTTGGCGACCCCCGTGAAATGGTCGTTCGACCCCAAATGGGGTCCCGACCCACAGGTTGAGAACCACTGCTGTATTACATTCCATCAAAGCAGTTCTGCCTATGCATGCATGCTAAATCAATATTTAACTCTCTCCTGCCTGGTGGCTTCATCAAATAAATCAGATTGATGTAGTCCCTCTAAATTGGAGCTTCTGTAGTCCTAAATTCATTTGTTCTACTTAATTATGGCATGTCAAGACATAATTTTAAATATTACAAAGTAATTACAGAGTCGACTCACTGGGAAAGCAGAATTGATACAGAGATGCAGCCCAGGCCTGTTCTTCAAGGTAGTCGTGTTCCTAGTTGTTCATTTTAGATGCCAGACAAGTCTAGAAAAGGTGAGTCTCAAAGTCAGACTTCCAGCATGTGTATCTTACAGCCTAGGAGGTAATACAGTTTGTGTGTCA